ATGCTGATACCCATTCTCTGAGACATTTCTCTGACACATTGGTGTGGATTTTGTTCAGCTAGAGCTTTCAGATGTTGATTGTCAATTGCAGATAGACGTCTTCTACCATATTGAACTTCAAAATTCTTATCCGTATTGCGGAGCTCCATAAACCAGCACCGCACTCTCCGGTCACAAGTGAATCCTTCACCTTTTTCTCTGTTAATGTTGGCAGCAGTTTGAGAAAGAAGCATTATTAACAAACTTTAACTCATGCAAAACAAAATAAGCGCATATCTTCTTTTTGCATGTTCAAGATGAGAAGTCAATAATGTTTTAAATTAAACTCTGAAAGAGATTGATATAAAATTAACAAAGAAGACACTTTAATCATTAGGAATGAGTAATATGTTTATGCAACTATTATAACACTATATCAGAACACAAAACGTTTATTCTAAGATCGAGCATTATTTTATAAACAACTTAATAGTTTGTAACTAGAGTCATGTTCGTTTATTGCTGTCGAGTTATACTTTCTGTTACCATAACAGGGGAATATCTCTTTATCTCAAGTAGGGAGGATAAGGATTAATAACCGATAAAGATAAAAAATGACATTGTGTTTAATATTCTAGAATAAATTATTCCGAAACAAAACAATTCCGATAATGTGACTCTTTTTATTTAACCTCATTTTGCAGGGTAAAGCAATTTATTGCCAGTTAATTTCGTCAGCCGTTAAGCAGCTTAATCTGATTTTGAATTTAAGGCAGGCTCCCAAGGATATCGATGTGAGTTCAAATATCACCGAAGGTTTATTTTTATATTCGATTCACGTGGTATTTACTCTGTCCCATTCCCCACTAGGACAAGATGTGACACAAGGTCTATTTTTAGGTGGGGACCCGAGTGCGTACGCTCGGGACAGGAATAAAAATTCCCTGCAGCTCCCGCAACCGTCGGTTGCTCTGGTCTCGGTGCAAGCACCGATCCCTCTCTCTGGTGCAATGGGAGGGCGCGGCCTCGGACAGTTGTTCCCCAGGGCTGGGTACCTCTCAGTATAATTTTCTCAGTTGCCCCCCTGTCCTTTGACAGAGAAACCCCTGAGCGGACTCTGTCCAAGGACAGAGACGCAACTGAGAGATGATAAATAAACGTATAACTACTCAAAAGGAGTAATTTACACACTTATATGTTCTTTACTAAAGATCTAAGTTTCTGTAATCTAATTTGAAAGCCGAAGAATATATCGGCTGTAAAGCTTTGTGATAAAAAATAAAAAACAAACAGTAAAATAAGAAAGAACCGATTCTATTGAAAAAGAAATATGGAGAACAATATTCTTTCCGTCCACAAAAAAAAAAAAAAAAAATAAAAAAAAATAAAATTCAGATAAAGATGAATAAAAATATCTAAAATTAGTATAAACCAGGTTTCTTTCTTTTTTATTGGTCTAAACCAGTGATTTTCAATGGCCGTACCGTATCACACCAGTGTGTCACGTGATCCTCTTAATATGTTTTTTGTGGAAGTAGTAATGTTACAGCGTTAGTATTTGAATAATTTAATTAGTATAAGTATTAAACATTTTTCAAATAATTCTTCTCACTATTCTTCGATTATGTCAGTTTAAATACTTTGTTTTAATATTCACTTTTAAAAAAATATTTTTATTTTTTTAATTTAGCCTTTTAAAATTTTCCTTTATTTGAACAAATGAATATTAACCTTTTTTCATATAATTGTATTCAACATTCTTTGTTTAATTCAAAATTTATAGTTTTATTTCATATATATTCATTTTCATATAAATTTATAGCCTTTAAAAATGTTGCTAAGCGTGCCGGGATATTTTCATTTGCTCCGTTGCTTAAAAAGGTTGAGAAACGCTGGTATAAACAGATGGGCAACTGGCATGATGCTTATTGGCACCAAAAATGGAAACCAAGTTCAAATCCCCACTCAATCATCTGCGTTCAATTTCGCACAAATTCTATTAGGAAAGTTACGGGTCCATCTCTTATCAGCCATGGGTTTAATTGCAGAATAGACTCTGTTCTCTGGCCCTCGGTAGCAACCAATCTAGGAGAAAGAAAATTCTGAATTCCTAGCCATGGAGAAGGCAACGGGAAACCACTCCAATATTTTTCCAGGCATCATGCAACTCACATAGTAAGAAAATAATCCATGGAGACTGACAATCGCCTATGTCTTGAAAGGATCTGATATATAAAAGGGATTTATTATCTGTGAATTGCATTGCCTTCTTGGAAAACAGTAGTGTGTTTAGCCGTTTTTCATGGTTTGAAATTGAAAGTTTTCTTTCTCTTATACTGGTTGACAGTAAAGGCTAGAGTGCCCGATTTCATCTGTTATTTACCCCTTAGCTATCCAAAGATGGGTTCATACCTATTCTAAGGGCATTTGCGCAAAAGTGAAGGTAATAGATTAGGTCAAACTTCGAACTCGATTCACTGATCCCACTTTCTGTACCAATAACCGTTACACTACCAGCACATCCTGTTATTCTTTAGCGGTTTCTCATCTCAGTACTAATCAGATTCGACGCTGCTTAACTTCGGTGATCAGATTAGAACTGGAATTTTCGGCGTGATATAGCCGAAAGCAGTTTATTATTACTTCTTTTATGTGCCGTGTTCCTTCAGGACGTAGGCGATCATGGCCCTCCACTTCTTTCTGTACCTTGTAGCTCTTAATAAGTTTTTTGTCTTTTTGCCATTTCTCTCAAACCCTGTTATACCCTCCATTTATTCAAGCCCATCAAATATGTTACGCGCTACTTTCCTCTGTCTCACTTTCCCTCAATCTGTCCCGTGAGTATCAGACTCACCAAGCCTCCTTCCTCACTACGTGCTCCAGAGCTTTCAACTGCCTCTTCCTGCTGTTAAGTATAAATTTCCTTTTTGTTTACATTTTATCCAAAACCTCGTCGTTGCTCACATGTTCGGTCCATGGTATCCCTGCATCTTTCTGTAGAACCGCATTTCTGTTGCTTCAAGTCTCTTTTTTCATCTTTAAGGTGATTGTTCAGCATTCACTGTCATATAGGAGGACAGACGTGACGCAACAGTTCTGCACTCTTTTCTTTGTTTCTAACGAAGTTTATTTGCAGGAAAAATAAGATGAAAGAAATACAACTAATAAAATAATTTAAATGCTTCATCTAAGAAATTTAGACAACTTAAGACGATTACATCTTATTATTATTTGGTGTAAATAAGCAAGAGAAATAATATGAAAGAAATACGAGTCAAAAATGAATAATAATTGACAATTACAACTATTATTATTCATCATGATCATCAGTCCCTTGACTGATTCAATTTTCAGAGGGACCTACGGGCAGAAGAAACAGATAGACTCTTCCAGGATGTTCTGTTGGCGGTGGCTCTTGGGAGTTCCGGCATTGTCATATCCGTTCAATCTTGGATGTTGTCCGACCAGCTCTTGCGATGCCGTCCCCGCTTGCGTCCGCCTTCAACGGCACCTTGCTTGATGGTCTTGCAGAAGCTGTTATACTGTGTAAAGTGGCCAAACCATGCCATCTTTCGACGTTTAATAGTAGCTAGGAGAGATTCTTCTCGGGCCACGGGACTTTTGACCTACATAATCACTGGTTTTGTCCTCGTAGTAGGAGGAACTTTCTCAAGTATTTGTTCTTGAACGCCTGGATATCCTGCCTCAACCAGGAGTGCCCAAGTCTCACACTCGTTGAGTAGGATGGATACGATCATCCATTTGTGGATCTTGAAGTCGGTATGCAAGCTGATGTTGCGCTTCCATATCCATTCCAGTTTGGCCATCTCTGCTGTGTCTATGGCTATTTGTGCGCTGATTCCAGCGTTGCAGATGCCATCTTTTGACGGGGTTGCTCACAAGTATTTGAAGCTGAACATTTCCTCCAGTGGTGATTCTGGCACTGGTGTGGCTTGTGCTATTCATCATTATTTTGGATTTGTCTGTGTTGAGATTCATTCCATATGCGCCGGTTCATTCAATGAGTTTGTTGGTCAGGTCTTGCAGCTCACTACCCACCATAAAGTCAATATCGTCTATGAAACGCAGGTTACAGACAGGTCTACCACTGATGGTGTTGCGGTTGTGGAGGGTTTCCTGCATAATCCACACTAGAAAGAGGTTGGAGGACTTTTATGAGCACTCCTTCTATGTTGAATCCTCTGAAGACGTGCTAGAGGCCATCATGTCATACCCAATCAAATACTTTCTTGTTATCAATGAAATTGTGGAAGAGGTACTTCTGGTTTTTCGATGCTGACCTTACAATTGAAGATTTGTTCCACTGTGCTCTTGTCCGGCTCTAAAACCTGTTTGCTATTCTAACAGTTGTTCTTCAACCTTGGATTCCAGACGATTAAGGATAATACGGATATGACTTTGATGGGGTCGCTGATCAAATTTATTGTTATATAATTCTAGCATCGCTTGAGATTACCTATCTTTGGTAACGAAAATGCCAGCTGCCAAAGTTTTTCTCACTTCAAAAATGTGTGGGTTAAAACAAGAGATGGTATGTCCTAAGTTGTTTAACACATTTAAATGTAAATATCAGGAAATAAAAGCTGAAATTCGAAACTCTTGTCTCATATTCATCTTTTGAGCTAAAACACAAATGTCATCAGTGAACAACAAAAACAATGGAATTCGTCTTGCCGTTCCAATATTTTGAAGGACTATATATATATATATATATATATATATATATATATATATATATATACTTACACACACGTGTACATACATGCAAACCCACCTAGGTACACATACATTATATATACATATATTGGAGCTTTTATTTGCAAACTTGGACATACAGGTGCACATATACATGACCATCAGTATATAATTGTGCAAATATATATATATATATATATGCACACACGCATATGCACAATCTTTATGTTTATCAAGTATATTTATATCAAGTATACGACTCATAATATCATGAAAAATAGCACACCCCACAAACTAAAGAAAATCTAATATATAAAAGATTCTAATATATATATTATATGTGTGTGCATATGTAGGTGCATGGGTATATGAGGGGGCATATACATATGCGTATACAGTTATATATATATATGTGTGTATATATATATATATATATATATATATATATATATATATATATATGTATATGCGTATACAGTTATATATATATATATATATATATAGTTGTATGCATATATGCGTACAAGTATACATAAAAAGGCTCTATAATGTGTATGTGCGTGTGAACTTATATTTGTTCTTCCTGCTTTAAGGCGTTCTACCCATTGATAGACCTTTCGTTGATTCATGTTGCGTGCTCCATACTGCGCCAACACCCGGCGATGGATTTCCGCAGGTTTGACCCCCACTGGCCACAGGAAGCGCACTACATGACGTCGTTCCACTAGCTACACGTCATCTCATGCGCACGCGCAGTGTCATCGTCTACCTGTCATTATATTTTTCAAATTTTCGGATAAGGTGTTGAGTATTGTGCTCGAAGTTGTGGATAAACATTTCATATGTGCTTACCTTTAGGTCTTTTTTCTTGTTTTCTTATTATCTACGATAAACTTGATAACTGGCCGCTGTTCAATCCTGGAGCATGCTTCTTGGTCGGCCATCTTTGTTAATCGCCAAAACTCTCAAAGTTTTTTTTTTTTTTAATCTGCAAAAGAAATTAAATCCATGTGAAAAAGAAGTAAAACAAAAAAGAAAAGTAAGCTTCTATCTGTATTAGAAGTCCTTATACCGAAAAATTCACCTTATTTATTGAATGACCGTCGTATATTTGATTCCAATTCATATGTAAGCATGCATGTGTGTATGAACCAAGGACGTACTGTCTAGGTGGGCAAGGTAGTCAGTGCTTACTCTGAATAAAATAGATCAGCTGCGACATTTACTTTCTGTGGAATAATATGCACCTAATTCAAAAAAAAAAAAATATATATATATATATATCAAGGTTATTCTTATTATTATGCATAAAATATGTTATATAAGAATAAAGTGTCGCTACCGACATATGAGTTTGAACATAGATTGTCAGTGAGCAAACACAGGCGATTCCATTCTTGAATTAAGTTGACGAAGTGACCATAGAGTAAAGGCATATATGGGATGTAGCGTGTGTCTAATTGATCGCAATTTCTAGCCTATCCTCTATTACTATACGGACCGCTATTCACTGTTCACTATACTATTTCTCTATTCAGATCACTATACGGTGGTCACTATTCGAGCGAGTAATATCGAGCAAGTACTATTAGTGCGAGAATTAGGCGAAGACGTCTGACACCAATATTGTTCAACGGTGTTACTATATTTTTATCTGCGATTACAAAGTCCCTACTACAACGAGCATTACGAAAGGGATAACGAGGATTCGTAGGCATCACAGAAGTGGCGACGAGTGTTCGTTAACATCTCAAAAAATGCAAAATATTTTTTTTTATAGATTTACTACATAACGGTCACAAGCTGCCAAACCCTGAGTAATTACTGACGGAACCATTCGCTATACTGTTGTGACGTCACCCCGTCTGCTTCTCTGCCCCACACTCCGTCTATCCTGCGACGACCAATGTGACTTGGTATTGGTCGCGGCACCAAATGTGACGTTCTAACCTTTTGCTGATTCGGATGGGAATCTGGTTAGATTCGGTATCAGCCCTGTCGTTCCCAGCTCGCCTCCAACGTCTGGTTACCGAAATAACTGCTTTGATTTCTAGTCTAACCTACCCACGTTGTGATTTGATCTTAGGTAGACGAAATCAATCAGTCGCCGGGCCGTAATGCAAGTCGAGTCCGAACAAGGGTAATACCGCACAAGTATATGTAAAAGAAAATAAAGTAATAACTCGAAAAGTTCAAATGTGTTAAAAAGGAATAACAATATTTTATATCAGGTTTCTGAATACAGGACTGCATCTTTCTCCCAAACCGCTAATATGGATTCGTGATACTTTGTGTTTGTTAGGCGAGTCTTTACATCTTAAATTGTTCTTTTAAGAAACTGGTTTTGGTGTATCTTCAGGCGATATTCGTAAAACTTGTTTTGGTGGTGTGAGTCTAAGTCATTCTTCAAAAATAAATTGTTCTTGGTTAGAAGTTGAGGTCGAGAAGCGTGAATCTTTCAGTCAGGTTCCTGCGAGGCGGGTCTCAGAGGTCACAGCTCAACTGCAACTGCTTGCCTGTCTGTCTAACCCCAACTGCCATCCACTCGCTGCGACTCTGCTTATATGGACGCCGACCAAAACCGGGGTGGGCCTGTCGGGGTTTGAGATTCCTTGATAATTCTAAATCCGCTTTAAGGATTTCCTTTGTTTTCGGTCAGGAAAATTTATTACTTTTCATTTTTGGAAGTCCTTAATTTCTAGTTTAAGGGAATCGTCCTCCCAAATTCTTCCTTTCTCATATTGATATCTCATACCAATCCCCTCAGAGTGCGTCAACAGGTTTCCCTCTCTCACAGTTGCCTACCACACCAATCCCTTCAGGGGCGTCAACAGGCCCCCCCTCCTTCTTCATAGTTTACCTTTGCCTACCGCTCACGCCACCCTTCATCCAATGAACGCTCAGCAGCGTGG